AAAGGAAAAAGAGAAAAGCTCAATTTAAAAATCCTCTGCCTCCTTAAGCTTGAGAGTGGGGCTTAAAGGTTTAGTTTGGCTTGTTTCTTCCCCACCTATGTTTTAGGAAAGAAGAGAGGAGTCACATTCATGAAACAAAATAAACGAGTTGTTGTTCAAGTGTGGAGATGGATATTCATTACACTCCTCCAAACCATCCTGCTCTGTTTATTGTTTTTTTCTTTCTCCTTTCTCCATTTCTTTAAGCAAGGTGATGGGAAGTGCCCGCTTGAACTCTGATTGTTTCAGCCAGATCTGCTGGAGGCTGTACTGGGCTGTCATTGACTAATGATAGGAGCTTTTTATCTGCAGAAAGGCTTGTTCTCTATTCCCTCTCCCACTGCACTTTTACTCCTCATTGTAAGTCTCTGTCCTCTTAGCATTTCTCCTTTGTTTCCTTTCCCTGCGATTGTTATGTGCTCCTGCTTTTTGTCCTTCTGTCTCTATTTGTATTCTTGTGTGAGTAGAGACAGAGAAAGAACAAATGGGTTGGGAATTGTGCTGGAAACCAGGCTCCCTTGAGGATCAGAGCTCTTGCAGCTACACTTTCTGCTGCTCAGGTCAGAGCAGAGGTGCAACTGCATTGCTCAATACTGCAGATAAATGTAAGGGAACAGAATCTTGGCTATATATACCAGGTTTATATAGATAAATATATATATATATCTCAGTGCAGCCCTCTGCCAGCCAGGCCAGCCAGGAGTGGGCTCTCCAGGGCTGTGTGTGTTAGGATTTCTGATGTCTGAGCTGGTTTGTCCTGTGCTCCCACCTCCCCTGTACCTGAGCTAATCCACAGCCAGCTCGTTCATCTCTAAATTCTGTTATGCTCTGTAGGCAGACTTAAGGGTATAACCATTCATGTGTTTAGATTTCCACCTCCCAGTGAAGCAAATGTCAGTGAAATCAGTCAGATTTTTTTTTCTCTGTCTATCTCAAAAGATTGTGTATCCTGCTGGAAGGAATTCCGTATTTCTAGCAGAAGTCTGTCTCTGTGCAGAGAGGTGTTTGTTTTGACGTGGTGCTCAATCTTCAGATGCGAACCAAGGAAGAGCAGACTGTGTTGTTCAGTTTTTAACTCATCTTAAACCAGTTTGTGTCTGGAGAGGCTGCCCTGTCCTCCACTCCTGCTGCCCTTCTCAGAGCTTTGGTTGTTCCCTGTGCTGCTGTGAACAATGGTTCCAAAGGCTGAGCTCTTGTTTTCCTTCTGTAGTTTTAGGCAGTGTTCAGCCAGGTTCTGTGCCTGGTGGAATTCACAGCCCTGCTACCAAGGGAAGAAAAGGGCAGGAGGCTGCAGGAAGAGCTGAGCTGGGAGATCAGCTGGGTTTAAAGCACGTGTGGAAGTGCCCCAATGATCTGAACATGGGGACTGCAATCCTGGGTGTTAACTAATGGGGGAGAATCACATGTAAAGCGTTTTTTCTTGACTAATGCATATAAATGCATTAAGCATTAGATATTAAACACTGAATATTAAAAAGTTACTATTTTAACTTTACTACTTAGAAAGATGGGCTAAATTATTACTATTTTGCCTTTTGACTCACCTTACTGATTTTCTACCTTGCTGGACATCTTTCTTTCACTAATAAATATAATTTTTTGTCTTCCAGTAGCAAGTAGAGTGCTGGAAGTACAGAGTTGTACTGCCAGCATTGCCAATCTACTCTTGCCAGCTGATTAATCCTACAGCTTTGCTATGAGTCAGGTAGAAAGGGTTTTTACTTTATTCTGGATGAAATGTTTACCATCTGTCTTTCATGTCTGCATTGCAGATGTGAGCTGGACTAACAGCTGGAGGTCTGCTCAAGACTGGCAGTGTTTATATTTCTAAAAAATTATCACTTTGCTTCAGCAAACCTTGCTTTTGCTTATGTAGATTTTAAATATTTTTAGTCTTACTTTGGAGTTGCAGCACAGAAATGAGCTGCAGTCACTGGTGAGCAGCTCTGACCCTCAGAAAGCTCCTCTGTGTAACTCAAACAGAGAGTGGATCTGGTGTGCAGGAAAACAGGGAGTTGTACTGTGGCAGACAAACAATTCCACATGCTGAGCATTCTGGGTTCGTGGGATGTTCCAAAAAGTAAAATTATGCTGAGTGAAGAGGTTGGTGGTAAGGGTGGTGTGGGGTTAGACTTCTGGGGACTGTTACGTAATGAAGAATTCTACTCATGTGGGTTTTGGCTCCACTTGTTCCACTTGTTCAAGTAAATACTTTGTATGTGCTGAAGTAAATATTTATTTTCTTTACAGATAGGCTTTGAAGACAGACTGGCTAAACAAATGCTCACAGTGAACATTACTGAGCTGGATAGAGACATTTCTGTATTGCTGTATTTAGGAAAAGCTAAAAGCTTAGAACAAGACACATTTTGGCACATGCTCAAGGAAGAAGAAATGCAGGAAATAGAATTCCTAAAATATATTTTTGAAGGAAGTCTGGAGCTACTTTCAGGATTAGGACTGCAGTGTCTGTATACTTGTATACTGTATTATTACAGCACTATTAACTTATATAACTTAAAGCTACTTTTGGGGAATATTTGGTCAAATAGTCATAAAATACTCTTCGCATCCTGTCCTTTATCCAACTGAGCAGTCCCTGTTTGCCTGTTTGGTGTAGGAAGTTCAGTGTAGAGATTGCAAGAAAGAAGTATTCCATCTATTCTTACATAAACTCTTGGGCAGGTAACTTCTTTTCAGCCTTGTCATTTAAAATTGCTGTTGTGACAGCACCTGAAGTTGAGAAAAATAGATTAATTTTACTTTTCTCTTACTTATTTGCTGCTGTGGTGTAGATTTGACTGCGAATGAAAAACTGTCATAAGTTTTTAATAAGTTTTTTTCTTTCCTGTGCTCTTTTTATATTTGAAAGCCACAGTCACCCTTTTATATTGAGTTCTGAGGGATATTTGTTTTATTTTTCAGTGAAGGCTGAACCCAAGCCCGTATTCTGGCTGTAACAATTGATCACCCAGGTTACTTTTAGTATCACCCTCATGACTGCCATCCACTGAAATTAATTTGCTTTTGTGGGCTCTGGACTATGGTACAGCTTTGAATTTGTTTTTGAATTATGACAAGTTTGGGTACTCATGTTAATAGTTAGTGAGGAGAATGCTCTTAGAGAAAAGAAAGACTAAGACACATTTGAAAGTATTATAACTCATAATTAACCAATTAGAATAATTGTCTACTTCAGACTTATTTTTTGAATTCCAGAGGCCAACTGGAGTGGCAACCAGCTTTATATAAAAAAGAAAGGCTCTGAAAGATAATTAAATACTGTCTGTTGGAAAAATGATGGCTCCCACATCAACCATGTTTACAGCAACTAGAAACTGTCTCACATTTTCTTTAATCACGCCTGGGTGTTTTCAGCACTGTAAAACATGAAACCTAATGGGTTTTTGTGGGAGAGTGGAAACTGAATAATAGTGATTTTAGCACTCACTAGATATTAGCTGATAATTCTGTTACCAAATGTTGGCAAGTGAGAGGAGGCTAATGGTGGTTTTATATGTGATTTATAAATACATTGATTAGGGAGTTCTGATATGCCTCTCTTCCTCAGCAAGTATTTTAACCCAGTGAGAATCTTTTGCAGAGACTCGCCAGCCTGTTTATATTGATTGATAGTGATTATTCAAGACACTCTCCTGAGCAGAGCAGTAGAATTTATTTTGTATATTCTGAGTAATGCTGCTAAATCCTGAGTAAATACCTTACTGAATTATGCTTCATGAAGGGGATTGTGATTCAAGGAGCAGTAGCTGAATTTCTTTTGATTTTGTTCCCTTAATTATGATGGTGATTCATTTGTTTATTTATTTGTAAATTTTGTTACCGAAATTAGCTTATTGGTTAGGAATAATAAGATGAAGTATTAAAGTTACTAAGTACAAAATAGTAAATTTTTTTTTGAGAAAACAACTTAAAACTTTTGGGATATTATATACAGAGGGGTTTGAATTGAATCTCACATGATGTCCAGTATGATATTACTGGTTTGTCTTTACCTTTTAAGTATTCTCATGGTATATGGGACTTCTAATCTTTCACTTTAATTTTAAAATAAAGGGAAATATTTAAATCAGAATTATTTTAAATGACCATTTTTTTCATTGGATTTTTCTGTCTTCTTGGATTTGGTGGACAATTTAATTTCTGTGTGGCTTTGCTTGTCACCAAGTACTTAAATCACTTTCCAGCTCAATGAGGTGCATTGGATGTCTCTTAGAGCCTGACAGCCAGACTTCTCTGTATCTGGAATTTCCAAAATGAAGTCAACTAGAAAATTGCATGGAAATCTGAAATGGTAAATAAATGACAGCAATTTGCTGTGGTCTTCATTTTGGGGTTTGTTTAAGCTTTTAAGCCTAAGGTGGTCTGGAGAATCTATTTTGGCTTTAAATGAGTACTCCTTGATGCAAAATGAAGAAATGCTGGATAGTGTGAGGGAAGTTTGATTCAAAAATCTGAACAGAGTAGTTGAATTTGTTTTGTTCCACTTGTGACTCTTCCAGATCCTTTCCTCTCCCTCTCTGAGCAGCACAGGGGGACATGGGGGTTGTGGTTGGTTCAGAACACTCCTGCTCCTTCCTCACATTTTTCCCCTGCTCCAGTTTGGGGTCTCTGTGGGATTGGAGTCCTTCAGGATCAACCTGCTCCTGCCTGTGCCCTTCATGGGATGTGGTTCCTTCAGGACCCACCCATCTGCTGTGGTGTTGGAGGTACAGGAGTAAAAAGAATTTGGAATATAAACACCTAAGCACTCATTGGATGTGCCAGTGGTGCACCTGGGACTTCTCTGGAGTAGAGGAACACCAGCAAGATTATGGAGAAGTATTTTATATGTGGCTATGTATATGTATTCTTTAAATAAATGCTATGCAGTATGTGGATATTGCACTAATAATTTTCATGCTTTGCAGTTTTATTAATGCTGTGCAATTTTATTGCAGGGAGTATGACTTCTGCAACGTCACCTATCATTTTGAAATGGGACCCCAAAAGTTTGGAAATCAGGACTCTGACAGTAGAGAGACTACTGGAGCCACTCGTTACCCAGGCAAGTATCTCTGGTTTGTTTTGTTTCTTCCTTCAGCCTGATGCTGTATTTACTCCTTTTACTTAATTATCTTAATAGTATTTGATAATAAAAACATGAGCAGTTTTTGTTTCTGATCTCTGTTGGAAAGCTGTGTTCAAACACGTTTAGAGACTCTTGTTCTAAATAATTTATACTCTCAAAATCTGAGCAGGAATACAGTAGCAACAACTATTTACTTATGTCTGTCTTATAAAGTAATTTAGAAACTTAACAAACAGTCAGTCAAAGATAGGGATCTGACTGAGACATGCTCCTGGCTTGTTATTTCACCATGAAAGACACATTCAAACTAAAAACAAACCAAAACCAACCATCCAAATTATAGAAACTATTAAAACCTGTTTCATTCTGTCCTGCCATCACTAGGAAACCTGGTGCCTTTCTGTTTCTGAGTTGCTGTTAATAATGGAAAGCTGCTTCTTTAATTCCCCCAAAATGATGTCTCTGTATGGTTCCTCTGCTCTTTCAGTGAGTCACTTTCCAAAGAAATGACATCTGGTTGTCTGTCTTTGTTTTTGGGGAAAAAAAAATGTTATTTCTCTACAAATTATTCTGGACATGAAAGTCTCTAACTGTGTACATAACTTTACAGACTCAAGGCAGAGAGAGAGTTCTTTCATTCCACATGGTGATAACATGGTAATTAACGCCCATTATAAACCCTGATAATTTTGTTCTTGATATGACAGACAGACTAAAATCCTGAATTCACTGTGGAACCAACTGAAAATGAGGTTGCCAGTTCTGTTATTCTGGTTCTGATCAACGCCAGCAAGTGAAGCTGCTGTGTGCCAAACTCTGTTGTGAAACCCAAGTCACTGGGTCCTCTGAGAGGGAATTTCCTGTTCTCCTTTTGCTTTATTTTCTACTGCTTTGCCCAGAGAAGGGAAAACATCAGCCCAGAAGGGAAAGTACCATTGTAGCTTCATAGTTTCACCAGGTGCTGGTTAACTTTGGGCTCAGCTACACCTTGGTTTGACAGCACTCTTGAGCAAATGTAAATCAAGAAATTACAAGCTAAGCTACAGGACATGGATTTCTTCAATGATAAAAACTCATGTTCCCAGGATTGTATTTTGATGAGGAACAATGTGTTTGTATTTTAGCAGTGTGTCAAGGAGACTAGGGAAAATAAAATGCTGTCAAGAGAGGGTAGAAAAATGTTAGGCTTTTGTTTTATTCAACTTTTATGAATATTTCCATTCTGATTTCTTCTTTTCATAGGTTTTTAGATAATATGAATAAATAAATAAAATAAAACCTCCTTTTTGAAAATGTAAGGTGATTTCTTGTATTAGGGAAATAAGTAGTTTGACTTATTTCCCTCTACTTAGATTCCAGTGGAATGTCTGAATAAAATGTGTTGTATATGTTCCACACAAAGGTAATCACGAAAGCTCCAAGTGATGAAAAATGTGTTACCTTCACATTGCCTTTATCTGTTGCATTTCTAGCTGAGGCTTTTCAGCTGCTCTTTCTGTTTTCCTCAGATAAGTTAACGATCATCCCAGTTTTAAAGACTTTTTATTTTTTCCCTCTGCCTGAAATTGCATTTGCAGTCTGGTCAGGTTAGGAACAGTCTCTGGTTTACCTCTGGGGGGGCTTTGATCACAATCTGCCTGTGCAGTGGCAGCCTCCACAAGATGCCACGTGCAAAGATTGGCATCTCCTTAAAAAGTTCCAAAGCAATTTCCTTCCTGAGAGAAAGAACATCTAATGTGAAGCTTTATCTTGGCCAAAAAATAAATAAATAAATAAATAAATAAACAAATAAATAAATCAATTAATTAATTTTTAGGTATTTAATCCCATTCAGTTTGAGGTCTGAAGCCCTCCTGTGGATTCAAATGAGCTGCTTGACGAGGAGATCGTAGAGATGGGAAGTTCTTCCATAAGTCATTGAGACAGCTCACTGGATAGAAGAGAGAGATTTAATGGCCACAAAATGCAGCAGAACTTTCACAAAAGTTCCTGAGCAACCTTTGAAAGCAGTCCTGCTTCCAGAGGGTAATTCAGGTTGCAAAAGCTCTCCAAGACCATCGAGTCCAACCTGTCACCAGTCCCCACCTTGTCCCCAGCCCAGAGCACTGAGTGCCACATCCAGGAATTCCTTGGACACCTCCAGGGATGGGGACTCCACCATCCCTGGGCAGTTCCAATGCCTGACCATGCTTTCAGTGCAGAAATTCCTCCTGATGTCCAGCCTGACCTTCCCCTGGCACAGCCTGGGGCCGTGTCCTCTCATTCTCGAGCTGGTTGTGTGGGGGAAGAGGCCAATCCCCACCTTGTCCCCACCTCCTTTCAGGGGGTGGCAGAGCAGTTTTGAGCAGCAGTTCTATGCAGATGTGAAATCCCCTTCAGCCAAAATTTGCCTGATCCTTTGATTTCCATCCCCACCAGGACAAATTCATGTTTTTATTTTGGCATTTGCATTTGAATAATTGGAGTGCCCTCTTGTTCTCCAAGCTGTGTATGATTTGGGAATGCTGCAAAAACTGGAAATCGTTGTACACAAGTTTTAGGGCTCCAAAAGGGCTCATCTGGTCTTTTGTGAACTTAGTATCTGAACTCAGGCACATGACTGACAGATTTCCAAATGATGGCACATCAATTGGTTTCTGCTGATACTTCAGAGAGTAATGCAGAAATGTGATGTGGGTTTGACAAAGAACACCTCAGTGAGTCAGGGTAGGAGAATGGTTCATTAAAAGTGAATTTTAGACAAGCTCATTAGTGTTCCAGATGAGAAAATATGGATAACCTAGGAATTGATTTAGAAGAAATTATAAGACAAGAAGGTTGTCTGAGCTGGAGGCAAAAAATAAAAAGTCCAAAAATCCATTAACTGACGATAAGAATGCATTAGAAATGACAGAACTGCATTTATTCTAGGAAGCCCTGAACTAGCAAACTAATTAAAACTTTGTGTGGCTGTCAGAGATGTGAGGGTTGGGGCTTGCTGGGGTAGCCTGCTCCCAGTGCTTGTTGTCATGGTGGAAGAGTAGCAGGTAGGGCTTGTCAAGTCATTTATTAACTTGTCATTACTCAGATTTTCTAAGAAATACGTGCTGGAAAAACATCATTAGAATTTCTGTTCTCCACAGCGTTGAATTTACTAATTGAAATGTGTTTATTTTCTCTGGTTTTAGTGTCACAATTAGCAAAAAAGCATAAGGTAATTGTATTTATTGCTAGTTTTGTTTTGTGACTTTTTTTTCTTACAAATTTTATAATTTTTGATTCCATGGCATTTTTATTGGGAAATATATAATTAAAACATATTCTCAAGGCTTGTTGCCTGTTACTCTCACCTTCCTGCATAGTAACCAGCTGGATTGCTGTTTTATTTGTTAGACTGTGGGTGGTTTTCCTAAGAAAAAGAATTATATTTTTAGGAAGGTTTTAACTGCAATTACACGATATTTTATGTATCGCTGAAAAATAAGACTTTTGGAGGTTGTCCATAAGGAGTCAGGGGATAATTTTTTGTTTCTGGTGGTTTTGAGTGCTAATTAAATAAGAATATGAATGCAGTAAGAATAAGAAAATGTTAAGAAGAGAAGAGAAATAAATGCCAACTATAAACCACCAACATCCATGCAATTCTTTTTTGGAAAAACACCAAAAATGATCATGTATGTATACATGGATGAAAAGATGAAGAAGTGTGTCAAGTTTTTGAAGATGACAAGATGAGATTTGCTCTGTTGCTAAGATTTAAATTTTCTAATGTCGATCTCTGGTTCTTTTCATTAGTTTTGCCTAGGAATTTTAAATATTCAGCCTATATAGCTGTTTTACAACTGTGCCTTTATTACCAGAGCCGTGCAGCAGCTGGGCCTTTAGGATCTTTACATTTTTTGGACTGTTACTTATTATTGCAGAGTTTTAACAACAGCACAAATAATTGTGAGTGCTCCTGTTGCAGATTGTTCATGACTGGTTCTGTTTTCCTTCAGTATGACACACTTTTGTCCTTCTAGATTTGCTGTGGAGAGACAGTTCTGATTGCAGTGCATGTTTTGTGAGTTCTTTCCCAATAAATTTAAGATGCCAGGTACAGCATCTTAAAGGAAGCAACAATCTGTCATAAGGCAGACAAAAATAATTGATTAATGATTTTGCATTTTTCAAAATAATAGCATAAAACTAATTATTTCTTTATTTATTTATGAAATAAATAAGTCATTGGGTGAAATTCCAAATAGTTTTATTACATGTAGTTTATGTAGAAATTCATAATAATAATGGCTGATGTTATTATTCATGAACTTCCCTCGTACTCTGTGTTTGGAAAATGGGCAAATTTCTATATTGCCATAAATATATGAATATAATTGTATTCCCAACCATTCCAATTAATTGGATATTACTTACATTTGGTGAACCTTGGTTTTATTGCATTTGAACCCGAAATCTGGTGTGCTCTTTTTCATGGGAAATACATTATTTATTAATCTTGTCAGCTGCATTTGAACCACAGCTTTATTTTTGTAGGGTTGGGGAATGCCTTTGCATATTTCAAACAAAATATTTCAAACATATTTCAAACATTTGGAACAAGGTGGGTAATGGAGCACTTCATGCCTGATACCTGTTGCACCAGTTTTAGTAGTTGCACTGAATTCTCCAGCACTTTCTTTCTTTGATAGCTGGATTCAGCTGAAGTCACCTTCAAGACAGACCTAAGGGAAAATGAATTATAAAGGTTTATTTTTTGATCATTCAAGCTCAATTCAGTTGTACAATAAGGTGAATATGATTTAATTTTTTTTTTTCTACTTGAACAGGACTATTCTCCCAATAGTCAATGTAATTATTATTTAAGCTCTATCTGTCAGAGCAGTCCCAAATCTGAGGTGTTTCTGGGAGTGTGGGAGGTTGGACTGTGCACCAGCCTTCCCTGGCATGGATTTGGTGAAGGCTGTTCCGTGCTGGGGAGACAAAGTCAAATTGTA